CTCCCCTACCTTATGATGCCTATCAGTAAGAAACCTAATGAGAGTTCTGTATACACAAATCTTATCTTTCCTTACACAAAGGCTTTTCATCCCTAGGGCAGATTTGTCTGTATCCCCAGAAGTGTGAGCAGAGCCCTCGTTCTAAAAAGGAGACTTAGGGTGCTGGTGTTGGAATAGAGAATTCCAGTAGGGAGAAGGTGTGAGAGAGAGAGAATGAGAAAAATAGAAAAAAAAGAGTAACAGAGAGGAGGGTAGCTTCAAAGCGAGAAGGGGCGGATAGAGGAAGGAAGGAAGAAAGGGAGGGAGGGAGGAAGAAAGGAAGGAAGGAAGGAAGGAAGGAAGGAAGGAAGGAAGGAAGGAAAAAAGGTGATCGATCATGTCTGTTCTCAGAATCACAGAACATATGGAAAGAGGAGGTGGCCAAATACAGAGCCCTGAACTCCTGTCTGTTGACTTTGAAGCCTCGGCTTGTACCTGCTCCCCTGCCAGCCCGATCCCCTTCTTTTCTCACTGGCTGGCACCCCTTGGCAACCAGGCTCCCGGGATGTACTCCTGGGTACCATCCAGGGGTGGGGGCCGCTCAGGAGCCATGCCAAGCTGGGAAGCATGGCCAGGAAAGAGTAGGCAAAGCAGATGCCGCCCTTCTCTTGCTGCCTTGATTAGAGAAATTGAGATGTTAATAATATTCTGAGATGCAAGGTGCTAATTAAAGTTAATTACTGTTTCCTTGTGAAGTAACCTCTCCTCGTGTTTACCAGGAACAAGGCTGCCAGCCGCTCCCTTGGCTCGTGCCAATCACGATGCCCGCTGCTCAGTGTACCCCACACCCCCACAGGTGCCCTCAGCTGGCCCCGCACAGTCCAGGCAGGCATCAGGAGCTGGGATTCCCAGGCCCTGCCTCTCAACCAGCCCTGCCCAGTATCACAAAAGCACCTAAGTATGAGTGCCCCATGTGACCTGGAGACAGGGCGAGTGACCTCAGGATTGCCACCATGTTCTCTTCTTTTCCTCGAAGGGTCCTTGCTTACCTACCTCTTTCCAGCTCATCTTGCTGGAGCTCAGCACCTGATCTCTTAGGATCTGTTTTCCTGTGTGTAAGCAGGGCTCGTAATTCCTACCTTGTATTGTTCTGAGAATCAAATGGGACACTGCCCATAAAATGTTTAGCATAACCACATACATAGTTGGATTTAATAAGCTCTCAATTAAAGTTAACTGTGATTGCTTTTGTCTTTGTTAATAATCATCTCTCTTCTAATCCCCCTGCTGTGTGGTCTGACTGCAGGACCTCGGTGGGTGAGCTGCGTACACATACGGTTGTCCTCCAGCGCTGGGCCACCACCCCAGGCACAACGCCCATGAATCTCCCCGTCCTCCCTACTCCTCCATCGTGTACAGCCCTTACCTTGCTTGAACAAGTGGCCAACCCTTGGCTAGGAGTTCTGTCAAACCCAACCTGTGGTGTGTGTGTGTGTGTGTGTGTGTGTGTGTGTGTGTGTGTGTGTGTGTGTGTGTGTGTGCGCCCCATTCCAGACTTCATAGGGCTTTGGGGGAAATGTCACTCTCTTGGGAGCCAAGTCAGGTTGCCATGACGACTACTGCAGGTGTTCACCTCCAATATTCTCTGCTCCCTCCCCAGCATCCCCATCCTAACACAGCCATACTGGCCAATTCTGGCTCGGGGTGTGTGTGGGGGGGGGGAGGTTTCAACACCTTTATGATAAGAATCTCCCAACACATATTCTGGACTACCTCTTCTGTCTTCTTGCCTTCTCAGAAAGTCCTTCAGCTAGGGAGAAGGCCAAGGGGCCAGACGAGCCCTGTACACAATTATTCCTTCCAACTTAGTTTCCTTGGGGCTCAATGCTAACGACTTAATGTCACTGTCATCTTTGATCGGGGTGGATGGAGGCTTTGCAAAGTCCCCCTCCCCCAAGGCTGTAGCATAGGGAATCAAAGAGTCAGGAGCCCCTGCTGGCTTCTGGCACTTCCCCAACCACAGAAGAACACCTGGCCCTTTTGCTTGGGGAAGTACTGGCCAGTGAAGCCTAGGTCACTTAAAGGCTTAGAAGCCTAAGAGAAAGACACTTGGCTGGGCCTCCAGGTCTGACGTGAGAGTGAAGATAATTTGGAGATCACTGACAGAGCCACCAGGCTCTGGGAAATCCCTAAGGTTGCTCCTGATGAACCCCTCAGGCTTACTTTTGGTGAGGGTGGATCCTGTTTGACTCCCTCCTCCAAAACTCTGGTGTTAGCCCCTCTGGAAACCATTCCAAAGCCCACAGCTTCTGGTTCCAGATCCAACTGCTTTTAACCCAAGTCCTCCCTCACCTCGACTCCTCCCCCAGTGTCTCTCCCAGGCCCCTCCCCAGCCTCCTCCCCTCTCCCACCTCAGTCCCCTTTTACAAACCTCCAGTGACACCCTTCCCCCTCCCCATTTCTTGCTTTGGCTGTACAATCCCCAAGTAGATTTCCCTCCCCCTCCCCTCCCCTCTCCTCCCCTTCCTTGGCGGCCCCTTGTTCCTTCATTCCTTCTTTCCTTTTCTCCTGCCTGCCTGCCTGCCTTTCTTCCTTCCTCAGACATTTTTGGTGGTGATAGTGGGAAATCACAGGACAAAAGGGGGCTTGTGAGCCAAATTAAAAGGGGACATCTTCAGCCGGGCGTTGGTGGCGCACGCCTTTAATCCCAGCACTCGGGAGGCAGAGGCAGGCGGATCTCTGTGAGTTCGAGGCCAGCCTGATCTACAGAGTGAGTTCAGGGACAGCCTCCAAAACCACAGAGAAACCCTGTCTCGAAAAACCAAAAAAAAAAAAAAAAAAAAAGGGGACATCTTCAGCTGGGTGGTGGTGGCAAACGCCTTTAATCCCAGCACTTGAGAGGCAGAGGCAGGCAGATCTCTGTGAGTTCAAGACCAGCCTGGTCTATAAAGCAAGTTCCAGGACAGCCTCCAAAACAATACAGAGAAACCCTGTCTCCAAAAACCAAAACCAAACAAACAAAAAAGGGCGCATCTCAGTTGGGTGGTGGTGTCGAAGACCTTTAATTCTAACACTCAGGAGGCAGAGGCAGGAGGATCTCTGAGTTCGAGGACAGCCTGGTCTACAGAGTGAGTTCCAGGACAGTCAGGGCTACAGAGAAACCCTGCCTCAAAAACAAGCGTGCTGGGGGGGGGGCTTATATCTCAAAACTTGGATATAGGAAGTTAGGGGAAGGGTGATAAAGCAGTCCTCTAGGGCTGTTGGAAAGGAAGTAGACATTTGCACAGGCGGTCCCCAGCACATGGTGGGTACAGAGGCACTCAATCTGTTGCTATCCTGTGCTACTCAATCACCCAGGGTAGTTTTTCCAGCTACTTGTATCTCATAATGCTCAGGGGATGAGGAGTAAAGGTGCCTACTCCTGGGGAACTTATTTATTTGTTGGTTTTGATTTTTTGCATCCGGTTTTCACCAAGTAACAGTCTTGGTCCCGGAAGTCACTTTGTAGACCAGGTTGGCCTCAAACTCACAGAGATCTGCCTGTGTCTGCCTCCTGAGTGCTGGGATTAAAGGTGTGCACTACTGAGCGGGGTGGTGGTGGTGGTGACAGTGGAGGCGGAGCTCACCTTTAATCCCAGCACTCAGGAGACAGCGGCAGGCAGATCTCTGTGAGTTCGAGGCTAGCCTGGTCTACAAGAGCTAGTTCAGGACAGCCTCCAAAGCCACAGAGAAACCCTGTCTCGAAAAACAAAAACAAAAATAAACAAACAAAAAAAAAGGTGTGCACTACTATGTCAGGCCTTTTGGAGGCAATTTAAATAAAGAAATTTGGGACTTAGGGCTGTTGTTCAATGACTGAAATTTTATTGTGGATGCACGAAGACTCTGAGTGTAATTTTCAATACTACACAGAAAACAAAACGAAAGAGATCCTGAATACATGGGCAAGAAAAGTCATGGCCAAGCCAAAAAAATTTTTTTACTTATGCATATTTCCGTACACAAGGGTGCAGTGCTCCCAGAGGCCAGAAGAGGGTGTTGGAGTCCCCCAAGGACTGGGAACTGAACTGAAGTCCTCTGAAAGAGCTGTGAACTTCTGAGCCATCTCTCCCGCCCTAGGTAACATGATTTAACACCGCTTCCATGCCACGCAAACTCCTGCTGCTGCAAGAGTAAAATATGCATGCTCTGTGAGGGTTTAAGAAGACCCCTGGCCAGCAAAGGTTCATGGGGCAGCTTTCTGTGGGTGCAGGCTTTTGAGGGCAGGGAGTGCAGAGGTCACTGGGCAGGTGGAAGACATCCAAACCACGTGGTAGAACCACATGCACAATTGGCAAACACTGCCCAGGGACTTTGCCCTTCCCGGTGCTGCAGCCCCATGAAATATTTAGGCTTCTGGATGCTGCTCATCCCTTATTGTCCCCCTCAGCAAGGATACTTCTTCCTTTACATCATTTATGGCTGTCCTCTTTCCTCCCCTTAGAGGCAGGCAGAGCAGGGAAAAGCAGCCCTGAAGCTACAACAGTCTTTCTGATTCTGTGGACAGGAGGCAGAGGCTAAGCCCCACACCCCTGAAAGAAGATACCCACTGAGTGCCCTCATGAGCAAGGGAAGGGGTGGATCTGGGCCTAGGAAGGGGTCATTTTGCTTCCCATGAAAAGAGAAAGCTTCAAGAGGACAAGGCCCTGAAGTGTGTGTGTGTGTGTGTGTGTGAGTGTGTGTGTGTGTGTGTGTGTATTTTACTTAGAGACAGGGCATTACTATGTGGTTCTGGTTGTCCTAGAACTTACTATGTAGATCAAGCTGGCCTCAAAATCACTAAGATCTTTCTGCCTCTGCCTCTGCCTCCCAAGTGCTGGGATTAAAGGTGTGCACCACTATGCCTCACTATCTACTTAATTTTTTTTTGAAATACTGTCTCACCCTCTTGCCCAGACCAATCTTGAACTCACTATGTATCCCAGAAGTTGTCCTGAACTTTTTGTCAATCCTCCTGCCTCAGCCTCCCAAGTGCTGAGGTTGTGAGCATGTTTCCCCACGCCTGGCTTAAAGCTGCCATTTGCCAAGCTCTTACTGAGCCTTTGCTTAGCAGTCTGTGCATTATCACCTTATACTCACCTCTCAGCTTCATTATCCTCACTCCAGCTGGGGAAACTGACACTCACAGAGGCTAAGCAACTTGCCCAAGGCAATCAGGCAGTCCAGCAGCAGGCTGAGCTCACACAGCACAGGCCTCCTCTCTCTGAAAACCTCCCAAGAGGTGAGGGTTAGCAAACGAAAAGCCATTGCGAGAATCTCACTCCTTCCATCTGCGTCCCCACCAGCCTGGAGAGTTCTGTCAGGCCAGCTTCTGCTCTGTCCCTCAAGATCAGTCTCTATGTCCTGGCGGGCCAGTTCCCCAGCTATGGTTCCAGAATACTTTATCTGTCGGTGGCTAGAGGCTGGGAGAGCCCGAAGAAGGGGGAAGGGGAAAGAGATGGGTTCGGGGATCGAAGAGAGCCGAGGAGTCACGGAGACCGAGATGGGAGGGTGGAGTAGGTGGATAAGAGGGTGCACAATGACAGCTGGGGGACAGATGCGGGGTGACTCCCAGCCTAGACTCTTACAGACTTCCCCATCCAATGAATGGGAAACTGAAAACTAGAAGTCCTGTCCCCACTCCTCCCGCCCCCCATTATTTCTGTCCCCTCCCCCAACATCTCCTCTAGAACAATTCTAATTAGTCTAAGTGACTAAGAGATGGTTTCAGCCTGAACAGCCAATTAGGTCAGGAATAAGGGAAAGTAGCTCCCCAAGTCTCTTCCCAACGCACCCCCCCATATCTGCCTTTTACCCAGAAGGAATAGCCTCACCCAGCACTCCATACTGTCACTCGGTTCTCCTGCTCCTTTCTTAGTGCCCAGGAGCACCACCGCCTGTGACCACCTGGCTGCTGGTCCTCTCTCCATGCCCACCTCAGCCCCAGTCCACTGTCTTCCTGGCAAGCGGGTACAAAGCAAGGGTAGGGGTCTCCCAGCGAGGCCATCTTTTGAAATCCCTTTTTTTCCTGATGTTTCTCTTCCCATTCTCTTCCCCCACCTTCTCTCTTCTTCCTCTGGCACTTATTTCTAACATCCATGGACCAGGCCTCCCAGTTGCCATGGAGACGAAGTGTGCAGCTGGATGGTGAGTGTGTGAGAGGAGCTGAATGCACTTTGCAGGAGGGGCGGGTGGCTCTGTGGGAAACGCATCGGTGTGTAGGAGGCATTCTGCAAGAGGGAATTGGACGGGGATCCAGGTCACCTCCCCGAAGTGAGACTGTGCTAAGCGGGGCACTCTGGAGGGCCTAAACCTTTAAATGTTGACTGTTTTCCTTTGGGAACACCCTCCCCTAGGTCAGATACTAAATTCTGTCAGGTCCTGGAAGCAGACCATCAGATTCTGGAGGGACAGAACCTGCCCCTGCAGCCTACGGAGAGGAAGAAGAAGCCTGGTCTAGGGTCAGCTTCCCTTTAGAACTGGGAGGCAGATGGAGAGCAGCTCCCCAGTACCGTTCTAATGAATGCCAGGGGAGGGTGTCAGCAACGGGACACTGTCCCCTTCTACTCATTCCCCCTGGACTCAGCCTGAAAGTCAGATGCCAGAAAGCTCGAGGTACCTGCCCCCAGGAAGCTTGACATCTTTTTATTGTTGTTTTTTGTTTTTTACGAGACAGGGTTCTCTGTATTGTTTTTGGAGGCTGTCGGACCAGCCCGGCCTCGAACTCACAGAGATCCGCCTGCCTCTGCCTCCCAAGTGCTGGGATTAAAGAAGTGCACCACCAACTCCACCACCACCACCACCACCGGCGAAGCTTGACATCTTAGTGGGATTCAAGAAGAAGGCCGTTGCCCACACCTGATCCTTAGCACCCGGATGTTCTTCCAAAGTGCGGAAGCTTAGAATCTGTCAGTAACAACTAAGAAGATTGCTGGCTGTGCTGAGTGAAGCCGCCCCTTCCCCTGCTCCACGTCCATTTATGAGTGAAGCCGCCCCTTCCCCTGCTCCACGTCCATTTATGAGTGAAGCCGCCCCTTCCCCTGCTCCACGTCCATTTATGAGTGAAGCCGCCCCTTCCCCTGCCCCACCTCCATTTATGAGTGAAGCCGCTCCTTCCCCTGCTCCACGTCCATTTATGAGTGAAGCCGCCCCTTCCCCTGCTCCACGTCCATTTATGAGTGAAGCCGCCCCTTCCCCTGCTCCACGTCCATTTATGAGTGAAGCCGCCTCTTCCCCTGCCCCACCTCCATTTATCTTCCTTCCTGCCCCACTGTTTCTTCCCCAGCACGTAAACACAATCTGTAATTACCTCATTTGTTTGTTTGTTTGTTGTCTGTCTTCTCCACCGGAATGTAAGTTCCAGGGGAGAGAGTAACTCAGCGCCCTAACGTCAGCACCTGGCGCAGGGCCTTCCAAAATAAAGGCCGATGATTGGCTTCACTGAAATCCTATAATCACCTATTATCATCCCTGCTTTATAGGTGAAGAAACTGAGCCTGTCACCCGCCCCAAAGCAGATCACTAGGAGTCGCACAGCCAGGTTTCCACTGTTACTGAGTCCATGTGTGATGGAAGGACATGTGGTAACCAACCTGAAATAAACCTGATTCCTCTTCCCGTCTTTCTGCCTGTGTGTGTTTCTGCAGCCCAGACATCCCCAGAGAAATGGGCAGGGAAGGGAGGAAGGAAGACAGAATCTATAAAAAATGTAAATCTGACCTTTTCTCTCAGAGGCATGGACTCCTTCGATGGCCCTCTCCTCCCCCAGTTCTTAGACAGACTAGCAGGTCCTTCTAGATCTGGCTTGTATTTTGCTCAACCTCTCTTGCTTTTCCGGGACACTTAGACGTCCTGTGCCTATAGGGACAGACCATCCATCCTCCTCTCCTCCCCCTGTGAGTTTTCAGTCATGTGCTCTGTGAAACTCATCCTTTACCTAACCCCTTCAGGAAAGCCTTTTGGCCTCTGGAGGAAGCAACCCTCGGGGTTCCCGAGCCAGAATTTCAGGCTCAAGTCAGGGATGAACACAAGATGTGGTCATTGTTTACCTGTCTTCATTTCCCGTAGAGATCATGTGTCATTCTTGTGGTGCCCCAGTATCTGGTGCTGGACCGGTAAGAGGGAGGGAGAGGCTGGGGAAATGTTTGTAGAATTAGTAAGTGAACCCGAGTCAGGATTGCGGTACCCAACTGGCCACTCCCTATTTCCTTCCACTCCCTTGACCTTTGACCTTTTTTAATGGGCTTGGCCTTAACTGGAGGGGCTCCCCATCCTCCACTGTCTAATCAAATCAGGGCGGGAAGGATACTGGCCTTCTACACTGATTAACCCGCCTCCTGATTCACGGAGATCTAAAGACTGGGGGCATCGCCTTGGCCACTGGTAGAGGGAGGGCTTGTGAGTCTGTAGCTGGGGTACTGTGTGACTGGTTGGGTTTCAGACTCAGCCAGGGAGCTGACCTAACCCTGTGAACTCAAGGCTGCCAAGAACCCTGCTTCTCTGTCCCCACCCCGCTACCAACGTGCCACACTTGCGGGTGCCGGATGCAGCTGTGTCTTCGCCACGCCCCCTAGCACTTGCTCTCATCAATCCTCGCCCCTCAGCAAACACGCAGCTAGCTACAGGTCATTTCAAAAGTAGCAGAGAACTGGAGTGAGACTCTGTCATGTCACGCGTCTGGGAATGGATGAAGGGGCGCCGGCGACCGTCCCCGCACCCCCCTCCGTGCTCCAGTCAATCCGGGTTTACACCGTGGCTCATCCGGGATTAGTCCCTGTGCTCGGCTAATCCCAGTGGCTGGGTGGACCCAGAGTCCTAGACCCTAAGAGCACAAGCCTGTGGGGAGCGCGCAGGCCGAGCGGAAACGCGCCCGGCGAGGAGGAGGCGCGTCCGCGAAGGCGGGGCCGGGAACCGGCCGATCTGGGATCTGTTCTTCGACTTCTCTCGAGCCGGTGTTTACCGGGGAGCTGGACAGAGGAGGCTAGGCCGCTCCAGTCCACAAAGGGGAGGGGAGCGCAGCCGGAGCCCAGGACAGAAACCTTGTCGGTCCCCTTCCCCAAATCCGCTTCCAACCCTCGTTGCTGAGCGCGGGAGAAAGTGCCAGCCACACAGACACCTCCCCCGCACCCAGTCCCGCGAAGCCTGCTCATTGCCAAAGGAGCAGGAAGGGATCCACCCGGGCCCCAAGTCCCCGGGGCGCTCCCCTCTGCGTAAAGAAGCACAGCACGGCCCTCCCAGAGAGGCCCTGGCCCCTGACCTGCACCCGAGCTCGCTCGCGGCGGATGGAGAGCGGGGAGAGCAGCAGTATCTTACCTACCCGGGAGCCTCTCCCTCCAGTCCCCACCCCACCCCCGGGCACCGCCGAGCCCAGCACGAGTCCCTCTCCCATCCCCCGAGCCCCAGGCCCCCACCCAAGAATAGCTCTATTCTCCCAGGGTTGTAGACCAAGGGGCGGGAAGAAGCCAAGTGGGGTCCGGTTTTCACACTTTTATTGTAAAGCTCGGGAATAATTACACGGGTCTTTCATTGACAGCTCAGCAAACAAACCGGAAACGAACCGAACCGGAGTGGGGGGGGTAGGGGCGGTGCCTGCGCATGCTCGCGGCGAGGGGAGGGAGGTCAGAGAAAGAGAAAGACAGAAAAGACAGAAATCATTACAAATCAACGGGATTGTGCTCGCAGCGCCGGGGGGTGGGGGTGGGGGTGGAGGTGGGGATGGAGTGGGGGCGGGGCCCTTCCCGGGAGGAGCGAGGCGGTGGGAAGTGGCACGAACCAAGAGAAACACGACCCCGAAGTGGGCACCCGACGCGCCCAGCCCCCCTCCCCACCCCCCACCCGACACACGAGAGAGACACGGCCCCCCCTCCCCACTCACATAACCCGAGGAGACACAGTCCCCCTTCCCCATGGGCAGACATACCCGCCCTGGAACCCCCATGGGCGAGAAGGCCCTCCCTCCCAGAGAAGTCTCACAAGGAGATGCCCCCTAAGAGACTTTCAAGCCCTCCCTACACCAGAGACAGCCCCCACCCAGGGAAGAAATGGCTCCAGGGGGCCTCCCTCGGGAGAGAGTGGTATCCTAGAGCCCCTAGGAGAAAAGACAATTCAGAGATGCTCAGCCTCGTTCCAAGTGCTGGAGGGCAGACACCCCATAGGAGAGATGGGGGAGGACCAGAGACATCTCTTCCGGGGAGCTTCGGAGACAGCTTTTCCCTGGAAAGAGAGCTGGCCCAAGACTGACTTGTCTTAGGTACTACTCCCAGGAACCCTGGGAGGCAAGCAGGCTCCCCAGAGAGCCTGGATAGGGAAGGGAGACACGTTCCCATGGACCCTGGTGGGAATTCATGTCCCCAGAGACTCCCAAGGGGAGACATGAGGACTAGGAAGCTCTCAGGTTAGGGCTGCCTAGAGACAGCTCCCCTCCTGATGTGAGAGATGCTTCAGGGACCCTAGGAAATATATCCCCACACACCCTTCCCCTACTAAGAGACATGCTCTGAAGTAGGGAGATGGGGACCAAGTCGGTCCCCTCTAGGAAGACACTGACTGGGTCAGGCTGGGCTTGAGGGGGGTCTCCTCTGGCCAAATGTCGCCTTTGGGTACATAAAACTGTACGCGACACAAGGCATTGGGGAGGGGCTCCGCAGCCCTAGGACCAGCAGGGCTAGTCCCTGGTGCCGGCACCCATCCCCTGCCCACCTTTGGTTTCACCTCTTGAGTGCCCAGGTGGTGACAGACTCAGCGCCCTCACCCCGACCAGGGGGCTAGGGCTCTGCATTTGCCTGTGGAAGGGCTTCTGCTGTGTGCTTCTGGGCCCTCCCAGCCGGCTAGGCTACCCCCTTCCTTCTGGCTTCTCCATTGTGCAAAATGTTCTCTGCCCTCCCACTCAGTGCTCAGGAGTCTCCAAGACCAGGCCAGGGTGGCCAGGCCACCAGGGACCTCCATCGGGAGTCTACTGACCCCAGGGATGCCTCCTGGCTGGATTCTCCTCTCCGTTGAGCAGATAGGCCTCATACAATCTTTTTGTCCAGATCCTAACCTCCAGGACCCAGGACAGCCCTCCAGGCCACTGCACCTCATGCTACCGGCCTCGCCACAATTGCACCTGCCCCACTTGTGCAGGGGAAAGGGCTGTGTCTTTAACAAGCCCCTGGCCTGCTTCCTGGGCCTCCCCCAGGGGAAAGGAGCCTTTGGCCAACCCCAGACCTGGCTGTTATCACCTAAGCCACCCTACCCACTGCCCTCCATAGAAGGGCTGTGTGTGCTGGGGCCACCACCCTAACAATGCACTCCCCCCAGCACTGTTACCCCAAACGAAAGAAAGCAGGGGTGAGGAGGCAGAGAATAGGGTGATTCTACAGTCCCTTAGCTCTTCTGGGGTGGGCGTGGGGTCTCTGGGGTTACAGGAGTCAAGCTCCAGCAGCACAGCTCCCAAAGGCACCAGAGGACCCAGCAGCCTGCCCACCCCTCCCACACATGGGCCACCCCCACAAGCTTAGACTAAGTCCAGTGGGGGCCACACCCTGAGTCTCCAGCCTCCAGCCTGGGCCCTTGGGGAGCTGGAGAGGTAGGGGCCAAGGCAGTGGGGGCTTCTGGAAGGAAGAGAGGCTGAGGCTTTGAGATGGCCACAGTGGGAGATGGGGGCTCTACAGGGTACCCCTCACACCTTGGCCCCCCGAGGTGAAGAAAACCCCCACCTCATCATGGCTGACTGGGCTTCTCTGCCCCTAGCCTCCCCACCCCCTCCCCCACGGGGCCCCTGACCCTGGTGAAGGGAAGCCCAACTGGAAGAAGGGGCCTGGAGCCCAGGGTGCCCTGAGGCAGCCCTCCCACCCCCTCAGATCAAGGCAATGGTGGTTTTACAGGCTGATGGGTCAGTCATGGCGGGGGCTGGGGGCTGGAGGGCAGGGAGGAGGCAAGGTGCGGGTCCCCCACTACAGGAGGCAGCAACCAGCCACCCCCTGAGCAAACTTTCTTGCCCCCAGCTCCCCCCACCAGGCCAGAGGCACAGTCATCCCACCCTGTCCAGCTGCCCCCCAGTCTCAGGGCCCCTCTGCAGTGCTCATCTGGATGAGGGAGGCCAGTCTGAGCGGGGGGGTCCCCACCCCCCAGGGCACAGCGCAACAGTTCCAAAAAAATAGAGATTTGTATTTTAAAAAAAAATTAAATAAAAGCCCAGCTCTGCTGATAGGCAAATGTTACCCCTGTCCCCACCCCCCACCCTTTGTTTCCCTGGCCTGCACCCCCATCCCATCACGGCCCCAGGGGTATTTACAACATGGAACAATAGAGGCCTGGGGGGCACTGCGGCAGGGAGGAGGGGCACGGGGCAGGTTCCCCCCAAGGGGCCCCCCAAGACAACACAACATCAACGAGAAAAGTTGCAAATCAAGCAGAAATGGGGACATCATTCCAAGGTCCTTATATACAGACACCGCAAGACCAGCAGGGAAGGGGGTGCCCAGATGGGATCGAGCCTGTGAGCAGGTGGGTCAGCCCAGGGGCAGTACTGGGAGGGGCCTTCGCAGCATTCTCACCCCAATCCCCACCCCACCTTTGGTAACGACAGCCCTTCGGAGAGCCCCCGGTGGTGGAGAGTTTCCTCTGAGCGTTCCCAGGGAGTTAGTCCCCCAGGTCACCCAGCTGCAAGGCTACACTGCCCTGGTCAGCCATGAAGGAAACAATGAGTTAAAGTATGCTGCCCACCCTTGACGCCACCATGTGCCCAAAGCAAGGGGGTGCTCCCTGGAAGAAGATGGAAGGGAGCCCAGTCATGGCAGAGGAACCCTCGTGGGCATCCGCTGGGTGGAGCCCCATAGAGGGGGTACAGGGGCTCCTTGGAGCTAAGGGGTAGGAACGGGGGAAAGGACCTGGACCCTGCATCGGGCAAGGGCCAACGTGGTCTTGAAGCCAGTACTCCACGAATCGGACCCTGGCCACAGAGTCCACGCTGGAGGGATCGACTGGGGCCCTGGGATAAACCCAGTTGGGAGCTGGCCGGCGACTGGGGGAAGGGCGGCCGCCGGCCAGAAGGGGGCTCACAGGTAGATCTCACGCTTGGCGGCGGTCTGGGCAGATGCCGGTGTGGCTGTGGGTGGAAAGTCCGAGGTCTGGGTCAGGGGAATTTCCTCCAAGGTGGCCGAGTCCTTGCAGGAGTCATGGCTACTGTGGGAGAAGGCACTGTAGGAGGGCAGGAGGCGCACGGGGGCCGTTTTGGTGTTCCGGTCTTCCGGGGGGCTGGGGCTGCCGGCGCCCGCAGGCTCCTGCCCTCCTCGGTCCTGGTAAGGCACGAAGGTGGAGAGTTTGAGGGCGCTGCTCTTGGTCCGGCGGCTGGGAGACGACTGGCCAGGCATCCAGCATGTGTCAGAGTGACCAAACTCGCTGCACTCCCGGGTACAAGTGCCCGTCATGGCGACGTCGGGCAAAGGGCGGAGGTCTGTAGGAAAGCAAGGACAGCTGTTAGAGATGGCAGCCCCGAAAAGCTCTGCTCCATGGCCTCCCGTTATCATATGTATTCTGCTTCTGAGCAGAACTGAGGTGCCGTTTCTCCTGCCTACAGAGCAACACACACTCCTCAGGCAAGCACAGACTCCTTTATCCACCTGTGGCCCACAGAACTGCTGCTCTCTAGGTCAGTCTCCACACACACACACACACACACACACACACACACACACACACACACATGCAGGCACGCACGCTCGCACACGCACACACACACACATCCCTGTGGCCCACAGGACTGCTGCTCTCTAGGTTAGTCTACACACACACACATGCACGCACGCACACACACTGCAGGCACGCATGCTTGCACACGCACACACACATCCCTGTGGCCCACAGAACTGCTGCTCTCTAGGTCAGTCTCCACACACACACACACACACACACACACACACGCAGACACGCACGCTTCCACACGCACACACACATCCCTGTGGCCCACAGAACTGCTGTTCTCTAGGTCAGTCTACACACACACACACATGCACACACACACACACACGCACGCACGCGCACACACACACACATCTCTGTGGCCCACAGGACTGCTGCTCTCTAGGTCAGTCTCCACACACACACACGCACACGCACGCACGCACGCACGCGCACACACACACACATCTCTGTGGCCCACAGGACTGCTGCTCTCTAGGTCAGTCTCCACACACACACACACGCACACACACGCACGCGCACGCACATGCACGCACACGCACGCACGCCTTAAATAGATGCTATTCTTCAGCATCATCTACCCTCCAGCCCTCTCACACACCCACCAAATCTGCCCTCAGACAGGTGCACAAACAGCTCATCTACAAACCGTCACTGTCTCCAGACGGGTTCAATCATGGAATTCCACCCTCAGATAAGGCTGAGGAAGTCCCATCCTAATTTAGAGCCCCCACCCCCATCCTGAGTCCTGGTTATACATATCTACTCCATTGGACACCCCGTCCCCAGACAAAGATAGCACATACCTTCCTTCCAAGTCCCCTCAAGCCTTACATGCGCCCAGCTTTCTGAGAACCCCGCCCCACACCAGCACAGCATTGCCTTACTTTAAAGCCAAGGGGAGGGGACAAGCTTCTACGTGGGATGTTCACACATAAGCACACACACAACAAGCACACACATGCAACCCCTGCCCACCTCACGCCAGCCCCTCACCAGCCACCACCCTGGCCTTGCCCCCAGCTCCCTGCCCACAACACCCACGGGAAAAGGAGTTGGCCGCCTGACATCAGCAGTAGCCAGTGCGGTTGCTGGGCAGCGAGTCTCCATGGGAACGGCTGGGCCATGAGCACTTCCTGTCACAGCTGCCCCTGGGCCGCCCTCACTCAGGGACAGCACCAGGCAGTGATCCCCCCCTCAGGGACATGACTGAGAAGCTCTGCCCGCCCGGGGCAGGGGCTCCCCCAGCACCACCCACTCTAGCTTGGCCTCCTGCCAGTGTAAGGTGAGGAGGGGATAGTTTTGTTATTAACCCTCGGTGCGCCAAAGCTCTTCAGTTCACGGTTGGGGGACCCGGTATGGCACGGAGCACTGGGTGGGCGGGGCCGGGTGCTGGGGCGAGTCCCATAGACCCCGGACCCCAGAGCAGCCCCCACCTACCTGGCACTCTGCCTCAGGGCCTGCTCCGGCCAGCCGGCTCTGCGCGGGCACAAAAAGGACGAGACTGGCATGAGATCACGCACGGTGTGGCAGGGAAGGGGCAGAGGGTGCTCTGGGCCCGGGCCAGGGAGGTGAGACAGGGCCCGACGACTCAGGGTGAAGACTGGCACCTTTCATCTTTGGGGGGCAGGGAGACTTCGGACTAAGAGAGGTGTGAGAGCCAGGGGCAGCTCTCAGGCAGAGCCTTTCTATCCCAAGGGCTGGCTTCTTCAGATTCTCCCCCGCAGGCTGGCATGTATACCTTCTCACACACTCTTGTGGGCACACACATGTCAGCGCGGGCAGACTCTCACAGTATACCTCACCATCCATCCCCACATTCACCTCCGCTCCAACTCCTCCCCTCCAACTCCGCCTGGAGAGGACCGCCCCTTCCAGACTTCCTCCCCCCAGAGCCAAACCTTGTCCCTGACTTCTGCTGGGGGAACAGGGAGATCCCATCCTTCTCTGAGCTCTTCACAGCGTCTGGGAGTGCCATACTGTCATCTCAGATCCTCTCACTCACTTGGGGACCACCATCCTCCTTCCAGTTTCCTCCCCAGTACCTGAACCTCCTGGCCACCATTCTCAGGGACCCTGTTCCCAGGAAGTCTATGTAAGGCAACGCCGAACCCAAAGACCCCGCAGTCAGACACAGATATGAACCCCTTCCAGGTCTGTCACTCCCCAGATGTGTAATTTTGGGCAAGTTACAGAGCCTGACTGAGTCTCAGTTCTCCCCACTGTAAAGTGGGTACCGTACAGTTCTCAGGTCAATGCGATGCGTAGATACATCTGAAAGCACGGTGCTTACTACAGAACACACAAGCAGACCTCAAGACACAAGGACCGTTTTAAAGCATCACCACTCTTCCCGGACTGGTCCCCATTCCTAGGAAGCCTCAGACATGCTGACGCTCCTCACCGTTCTCAGGGTGCTCCATTTCACCTATGCTGCCGTCAGGGGTGGTGCGCTCATAGTGGTCCTCAGGTAGGGCCAGGGGACCAAGTCGGGGCCCTGAGGATGACTTGCTGGATGGCGTTTCCGACTCTTCCAGGCCACTGTCATAATAACTGTGCTGTGATGGGTCCTGCAGCTCCTGGGCCTGACTGGTGGCCGAGAAGGTGACACGGCGGTGAGGTAACTGTAGGGAGAGAGAGTGTTACTCTTGGCTGGCTAGCCTCCTCCAGAGCCCAGCACCACACTAGCCCCAAACCCTCCCAGGCCTCAGCAACAGCCAAGAAGAGGCCCAGCCCCTTAGTACAGCATAGGCCCCAGAAAGCATAGACTCTAGAAGAGATGCCTCTTAATTCGAGGCTAGCTTCCAGTACAGTTAAGTCCACACACTGAAAGTCCCAACACAGCACAGGCCCCACTCTTGTTACAGCCTCATGACAGCCCTAGCAAGCAAACACTATGTCAGCACAGCTTCCCAACACAGGCATGGTATCCCTGGCCTTTCAGAACAGAATGAGCCATAGTACAGAGTAGAGCCCAGGAGCAGAACAGTCTCAGCCGACTCCAGATGCCAGCCTGGCCTCTAAACACCAGCAGCACAGCCCCAAGCTTCTGAAACAGCTTCCTGAAAGCTCCTCCAGGCAGAACCATCCCTATTAGTCTAACTGTACCTTCTAGGCTTGAGCTCCTCTCCTGTCTCACTGCTCTGCAACTCCCCATTGCCTCCATCCAAAGGGCACCAACCTCTTGCATCTTGTTCCTCAGACCAAGTTTGCAGTCCTGAGGCCTCCGAGGGCCCCTCCTACTCAGGCCCCAGCCCTCTACAAATCCCTTCATAGAGGACTGAGTGTGGGATTAGACGGAGGGAGGAGAGGGAACTTGATAGGAAATCGGACATGTGGTGTCAGAGAAGATAAATGGAACCCCTCAGTGTTCCATGTCAGGGAAGGGGCCGTAGAGAGAAAGGCCCAGTGTGGTAGAACATGTGACGCCCGTCAAATATTGAGAAGGTTCTTCTCTATGGAGTCCCCTCCAGGACACAAAAAGGAGCTCTAGGAAGGACCTTCTGCTTGGTGGAGCCAGACTTGAGTTTAGACCGGATACTGGCATTGGATAACGGAGCAGTGACAGGCTGCTCCCTGCCAGCAATCCCGTCTGCCTGCCATGGGTTAATGATCAGACCAGGAACCTGGCAACCTCAGCCTGGCACTTGGCACAACCATCAAGCCACCCACCTGGGACCTCCACTGGTTTTCCTGCCAACGAGAAATTAGGAGTAGTGGAGGGCTAAGATCCTGGGTACCCGGAGGCCAGAGGAGCAGCAAGGCTCGGGTCCTGTTGATGAATCAACAGACAGAAGCACCCTGATCGGCTCTTGGCCCGTTCATAAAAGGGCAAGGAAACAGCCAAGAGAGGTGGTCTCCGGTTTGTAAGCCCACGCACCACCCCTCCGCCACCTCCTGTGAATGTCTGAGGACAAAGGTAGGGGTATCAAGACAAGGAGCTTTGGCACTGGTTAGGGAACAGTTCACTACAGTCTTCCCACTGTATCAGGAGCCCATTCAATCCCAAACAACCCAAGGTCTGGGTGGTGAAACAAGGTCCCCAGAACTGACGTGCACCCTTGGGACTAGGAGGTTATAAAGGAGCAAGGTCAACCTGGCAGTGGAACAAACAGGCTCCAAGCTGATCCTCACAGGCACAGGGCAGCCTGGTTATTGGTGCTTCTTGTTTTCTGTCAAGACTGGCCATCAGCCCTTCTTCCCTGAAGAACCGGGTAATCAGGGGCGTCCCTTGGGCTTTCCCCCATCAGTGAAATGCTGGGTGGTTAAATGTAACCTTAACTGCTTCTGCAATTCCATCAAATATTAAGAGACCAGGTTCCAAATCACTCAGTCTCCCGCCCTGAGTACTTGCTGAGTAGGGCTACCCATACTGAGCCTCCAGATCCAACATGTCTGAAATCAAATTATTTCTCATCGATCCTCTTTCACATAGGCAGTGAGCTCATCACCATCCCATCACCCACGCTCAGAAAGCTGATATACACCTGGGTATCCTGGGAGTTTCTCCCTCATCCCCACCCCTACACCCTATCAATTAGGATCTTGAATATCATTGGCCCTTTCTCCATAAATTCAGCCACCTATCATCATCACGGCCATCCTTAGCCCAAACCTTAGTGCCTCTCTCTCCCCCTCCCACAGCCCCCCAGCACAAATGGGGATTGAGCTAGGCCTTTACACAGACTAGGCAAAGCAAGTGCTGTTTCTACTGGAAAACTGAGCTATAAGGGACTTTTCTTCTTGAGGACATTTAGCAAGGCATCCTTGTCCTCTACAATGTAAATACAGTTCTTCCAAGCTCACTTTACTTTCTTCTACACCCTCCACTCCAGCCAGAATCCTCCCCTTCTGCCATCTTTCTCATTCCAACCTGGTTGTGCTTACCCCTGCTTCAAGAGCTGTGCACAGTGACCCTAGGCAAGGGGGCCCTTCTGCCCAAATCTCACCCATCACCAACAAGTTGGCTTCGGGTTCCTATTCTCTTCCCAGAAGCCCATTCCCATTTCCCCCCTATTATGTCCTAAAAGTAGGAGGAGGCACTACAGTCAGACAAATGCGGAAAACTCAGTTATACAAGCTTAACAAGTTCACTCTTTGTTACAGGGTTTTGCATAACTTTTTATGGGATGTGATAACTAGTCTCTCACTAACTTAATCATGGAATTCACTCTTAATTGTATAGTAGATAATGGCAGACTGGAAATCAGATTCCCTGTTGCTTTGTGCTTAAATTCTGACTCCATCAACTGCTAGTTTTCACTTATGTGAAATGACTATAATGAATCGGCCTGTGTCACAAAGTTATGAGCACTGAGTGAATTCATATATGGTACCTTGAACCCAGCAAGGCCTCCCCAAACAGTAAAGAACAGCAGTAATAAAAGTTGCATGGACTCGAGTGTGGTAGCACATGAGTTAATTCCAGCACTAGGAAGGCAGAGGCAGTGGATCTCTATGAGTTCAAGGCCTATCTAGCAAGCTCCAGACCCTGTCTCAAAAAGAAAGTTAAGATAGTTTTACAGTACACATAAAGAAAAGCTTCCTATAGCCCCTCACTTGACACTTGGAATTCATTTCACTTGTCACCATTTTTTTTATTAACCAAAGTCGAGTGCCACGCTGAGCATGCAGTAGGAACTTAGCCTAAGTGCTCTGATGATGTCAATGGGTAGTATAAGGTTTGGTCATACTCAAATGTTGGGAGGAGGTATTCAGCGTAGTTCCATGGATGGGTTGGCTGGGTTGGAGCCCAGTGAGGAACAGTCCCTCAGACCTTGAGGGGAAAAAAGGCATCAATGGACTAAAGGAATGGAAGAAGTGATGGTTGCAAGGCAGAAATGGAAGAGAATACGGAGGCCAGGAGATTTTGGAGATCACCTGTCAGATAGCTGTTTTCTCAGGAGACAGAAGTTGTAACTAGATATGACCCCCCATATCCCGCTCCTCCAAAACTCTCAGATGTTTTCCAATTTGGGGTACCACAGGGCTTTGTCCCGTTTATAGATGGAACCAAGAAGAGAGCTGGCGCCTTGCATCTCCTGGGAGTGTCCCAAGCCTCTTTGATCACCATGGAGATAGGTTGCCTCTGGCCTCAGAGACTCCCCCAGGACCAGAGGCCCCTCACCCACACCGTAACTTCCCTCAGGCACAACCAGAGACAGGTAGACCCAGGAGAGCAAGAAGTGAGAGACGGAGGGAGAGAGAGAGGGAGAGAGGGAGAGAGCTAGCCCATAGTCCTGGCTAGAGTAAGGAGCTGAAGGCAGAATTGGGACACCTCATCCTATGACAACGGCTCTCCAAGCATGGGGTGTAATGTGGGT